TCTTGGGCTAGCTTAGGGATATTCTAGTTGTGGCCTTCCTGACTGGCCTTGCTGCGACCTGATGAAAACGGGGGAAAAAACGCAAAAAATGTTGCCTTGCTGTACCCTGTCTCTGGCCCGTTTGTGGCCTATTTTTCTGAGTGGCCCCAAGGCAATTGTCTTATTTGCCTAATGGTTAATCCGGCACTGGTTGAAGGGCGCCAGTGGTAGGTCTGTCTTTTCTTTCCCACTGTTGTTCTTACCTGTTTGTCTTGCTCTTTGTCTGCACTATACAGCCGTTATTTTGGCATCGTACTTTATTTAGCTCAAACGCTTGAAACAATATAAGGTAATATTAAGAGAGCGCACGGGACAAATTAAACATTTTCAATTGGTAGCACATTTTGAATTTTGCCCGTGTGGCGGCCGAAACCTACTACATGTATTATCGATTATGGACCACCTCGGGATCTGAAACGTGTGCAACTTGCACACGGGACCTCCGAGATTTTTCGCCATTATCCAAGAAGGCTAGGTGTAGATCTCACCTACCGTAAGATCAGGGGTGTGTCTGAAAGATAGCAGTAAGAAGGACCAAGGAGAAGCAGAAGAAAGGCTGTAGAAAGAGTCTGGAGCTTAGAGGAGGGGGCAAAGGGGGTGAAGGGGTGGGGGCATACAATAAAGGCGATAGCAGGCGACAGAAAATTGTTAGAGAGCAGGAAAAAACCGTGAAAGAGTACATTTTTAGAGAAGAAAGCTTTCCGTCGCTATCCGAATTCGAACCCGGAACCTATTGAATGAAAGGCGAACACCTTAACCTCTAGATGGCGAGAGCCCCCACTAGTGATAATAATAGTCATAATAATAATATGATAATAAGAATAATAGCAATAATGATAATATTATTAGTAAAATAATAATAATAACATTACAACATATATTTATAATTATTATCTATACTAGTAAAAGTACCCCTTTCTACGAACGGAATAATAATGAAGAAGAATTAGGAAAGTTAAGAAGAGGAAAAAGACTGAAAACAGGAATGAAAAAAAGAAATATATTTTACCTTGGATTTATCCATGTAACACCCCACCCCCTCTTGACTACCTCTAGGGGACAGGGTAAGACTTCTTCCCCCTCTTCGAAGGCCTGGCATTTTCTCCTAAAGGGTTAGGCCTTCATGCCAAAATTGTTGCTTCCTAGAAGAACATATTGATCTAGATTCTAGATCTAGCATAGATCTCGAAGGACTTTAAAGACATAGGCCAATAATTGAAAGAAGGAGCCTAGGCCCATAGATTGATCTAACTTCAAAAATTCACATTTAACAACCGACAGGCGTCACAGATGGCCTAAATTTCTCGATCTTTTCACAGCATCATGATTCTTGCCTCGGTCTCGATTCACCGACAGCCTAGTTCTAAACTCTAAATCTATTCACAGCAGAAAAAAATCCACGTTCAATACATTCATCATTCTTGATCTCGATCTCAGATTCACATAGATCTAGATCTAGATAGCTTAGAATCTATAATGCACAGCAAGAAAAATACACTTTCAATATTCAATAGGTTAACCGAAATATCACAGAGCTAAATTCTACTTTCAGTTCATGATTCTTTTTTATCTCGATTTAGATATCTAGATCTAGATCTAGAGTCTAGATCTAGATTCTAGATCTCATCTAGACATTGTGTACAAAATGCACTCATCCTTCGGCGTGCGCGCTAAATCCACTGCAGGAGAAATCTACTTTTAATACTTTTAATACACACACATGCGACTACACGCAGTGCGTAAACCGGGCTACGATTGGCTGAACCTTTGACTTTGACCCATGAATACATTAAGTAGGCCTACGGTAGGCTACTCTTGGCACTTTCGACGACACCCTCCCTGCCACTTTCACCACCCTCCCTC